TCTCTCTCTCTCTCTCTCTCTCTCACATGTGCGCGCGCATGCACGCACGCACGCACTTAAGCTAATAACAAAACAGTAGCTGATTCAGAAGCGCCAGATTGTCATAGCAAAGTCAGAATTACCTCCTCTCCTAGGTTCACGAAACGGTCGTCCATAAAATGCATTGCTGTTCTGTTGTAAGTAATCTTAAAGATTCCTAAATGCATCTACTTCCGGAAGGCCAAATAAAGTGCTTTTGCTTTCGCACTGAAACACACAGCGTCTCCCTGACATGGCTGCTTCAACACTAACTGCGGTTACTGAAACCACGCCTTCTTTCTTTGCGTGCACATTTGGGCGGCATTATGCAAATATTTCCACATAGTGAGGTAGATATGTGGGGGCGTGTTAGAACGAGCCGTTTTAGGGGGGTGTGGCAGAGTCTTAACTTTGATAAAGAATATCTCTTTGGTTTTGAGACTTTAGTCTTTGCAACTTCAGGGATCTTATCTATGCACAATCAGCTTGTAACACTCCAAAGAGAAAGGAAAACTTGAAATCGCATCATATGACCCCTTTAAAAGTTGTAGCCTTTTTGACAATGTCATAAATAGCCCCATCTGGATTTGATGTGGCACATGCTCTGACCTGATTTATGGGTTGCTGCCAGTTCTTGCAGAGTTTTTACCTGTTGACATCTAGAATATGTTTGCTTTGAACAAATGACATTTTCGTTGCATGATTTTGGTCATCTTGCTCTCTGTTTGCTTGCCCTAACTTTTGTGCTTTGGAGAAGCATAAGGTTTACACTGTTAGAGATGACACTCTTTGGGAAAAGCAGATAGGTTTCTTTTTGTGAGAGAAAAGAGTGGAGAAACATAAATATCCACTAGCACAATGGCCCGTTATATCCTGCTTAATACCGAAGCTGGCATTTATGTTAAGCCTTGACTTCACCAAGTTCAGGTTTTCAATACTCTTCCTCCTCAACTTTTCCGAAGGCTGGAATGTCAGCCTTCTATAATGTATTTATTTATTTATTTTTCCTCCTCAGCAATATTCCAGATCATTCAGAGCATTCGCATGGGCATGTAAAGAGGACCGATGATGTCTCAAGTATCCTCTCCTTGCCAGTTCCACATACTGCAACTTTAAGAAGGAGCCTCTCTTCAAGGCTTTTTGCTGATTTTATTGGTTTATCTTCTATGAGGTGCAGCAATCTTGTCATTCGTCTCTGGTGCCTTGTTAATGAAGAAAAATCAAAAAGACATAAAATTGCATTCTGATCAATTGTAATGTTTTTTTGTCAATTTACCTTGATGTAATTTAAAAATCTTGATATGTCTCAAGCAGTGATGTGATTTGTAATTCCTGACTTCTCGTTCATTCCTGAAATAATTGTGAAGAAATTAGTCTTTTTGATCGCTTTTTGGACCCCCCCAAATAGCCATTTTGAAATTTGCACAGGATGAAGTATTACGAATGAAAAGCCAGTCAGCAAATCTAAATCACAAATGTAAAAATGTCTCTTCTCATGCATTGTATTACTTTTCTTTTACTTGCTTTCTTTGTAATTTAATAGCTGCCTCCTTCCTTCTAGAATATGGAACTTCAACCTGAAAAATGTAGTTCTCTGGCACATATTCTTGTCGTTGTGGTACTGTTTACCATAATAGAATGTGGCTTAGCAATTCAGCTTTTTTCAGAACTGATGCTGTTATATACTGTATGCTATGATAGCGAGATGGAGTAAAGAGAAAGAGGAACAGAGCTGGACTAAAATAAAATGTTTAAAAATGGCATGCGTTTTATTTTAATTTTAATTTCTTTTATTTTATTTTTTTTTATGGGCTAGTTGATGATCTTAACAACAATCTGAAATGTTTGTAATTTAACCAGCAGTTATCTAAGGTGTCAACTACTCATTAAAACTACAAGCAGGAGTATACATTGCTTATATTTATTACCAATAAAGAGACTGGTATAATGACATAATCGAAATAATTACACAAAATAATACACAAACAGTAAGGAGCACAAGAGTGCAATCTAGTAGGTTAAATGAAACATACCATATTTGAGCTGTTTATACTGACTTAAAAGGACTGAAAACAAGGAACTATGTTCTCACCAGAATTCTGTCCAGGACTAATTGATTACATTCTGTTGTGATTCCTACACTGGTTAAATGATTACTTACATTTTTTTTCATTTTGAATTACTTTCATTGACTTGTTTAGATGGATAAAACATGCCAAAGACCGCAGCATCACTCAAAGATACTCAGTTGTTTACATTTGACTTGCCAATTGTAAGTGTCTCACAATGGGAGTCAGTGCAGAGTTGATTGCATTTTAAGGTGTTAATCTTGTTCATTCTGGTATGAATTAAGCATTTCATTTGTTGAAAACAAAGATAAGCGACATTAAAAATACTTAAAGTCTATTTTGAACTACAGACACTGTAGTTTTGTCAATTTGTAAGTGTTTAGAAAGACCAATGTATTTGATTAAAATTGTTCAAATGTTTAAACATGCCAGTGAATACGTCAAATCTTAAATTGTATTTTTGGCTGCTAGTTCCAGTTCATTAAAAAAAAAAAAGAATCCATCAGATTTGACTTAAAGGGGTCATATGATGCGATTTCAATTTTTCCTTTCTCTTTGGAGTGTTACAAGTGAGGCCGCCGCCGCCGCCGCTCACTCATCACAGTATGGTAAGGGGCGTAACATTCCAAAATGGTCTGGCTGCAGCTGGCGCTTGCACTCTCAGACGTGCATTCTCAGCCAGGAGGAAAACGCTTTGCGAGAGACTTTGCGCATTGCGCATATTCTGCTGTTCTGTATATACTTTGAGTAAACAACAAGACATACAGGTTACACAAGAGACTTTGCGCATTGCGTTCATATTTGCTGTTCTGTGGCGATGGATTTGCGGGTCTTGTCTTTTTCTTGCAGGACCATTGTACTAAATACTTATACAGTACTTTCATTAGTTTTAATAAGTATTGCTTTTTATTTCTCCTCTTTCCTACTACTTGTTTCGCTTCTGTTTCAGTTTTTATAACCATTTCTTACTATGTGTAAGTAAGTTGTTGTTTTTTAGCATGTAAGTTTGGCAGTGTTATTTTGTAGGATTACTGATAAACTACTGTCATTTGATTTGTATTATTTGTATTTGTTATTTATTTTAATTTTAGTTAAATGATGTCTGAATTTATTATGTCTGTATAGGTCTTTTATTAAGTTTTATTTAATTTGAGTTATTTTAATACTTCAAACCAAATGGAAACGAAATATATTGA